GAAATTGGGTTCTAAGGCTTATGAGCTAAGGTTGAATTAAGGATCTTTAGTTATGTTGGGTTATCAGACTTATATGGATTAGGGGGACGTGGGATCACCCCTAGGTATGTGCATGGTAAGGCTACACGATGGTTTGATGGCTTTGGAATGACTCTGGGCATGTTCGAGGACGAATGTATGTTGAAGTGGGGGAGAATGTAACGACCCGACCACTCGTTTTGAGTATTTGCACTCTGTTCAGCTATTTGAAGTCTCGAGTAGCTTCGTATGATGTATTATGAAATGTGTGAATCGTCAGTTTTGGTTTTCAGGTGATTCAGAATTGGTTTGGAAGAATAAATTTCATGTTTGAAGCTTTAAGTTGGAAGAGTTGACCAAGTTTGACTTTTAAGTATTTGACCTCGGATCGGAGTTTTTTCATTTTGTTAGGTCCGGAATATGATTTTGGACTTGGGCGTATTCCCGGATTTGTTTTTGGATATTTCTAGAAGGTTTTGGCACTAATTGGCGAAAGTTAGAAATTTGAAGGTTTGGGATGTTCATAAGTTTGACCGGAGTTGACTTTGATGACATCGTATTCGAATTTTTGTTTCGGGAATTAGAATTGCTTCATTATGTCATTTGGGACTTGTGTGCAAAATTTGAGTTCATTCCGAGTCGATTTAATAAGGTTCGACACGAGTTTTGAAAGTTGAAAGATTCAAAGTTCATTGAGTTCGATTTGAGGCACGCTTCATGATTTTTGGTGTTAATATGCGTGAATTGAGGCCTCGCGTAGGTCCATGTTATGTTATGGGAATTGTTGGAATATTCGACGGGGTCCCGAGGGGCTCGGGTATGATTTGGATTGATTTCAGACCATTTATCTTCATAATTCCATTGCTGGTTTCTGCTGATGTCTAGTGCACCAAATGGTCTTCGCAATCGCGAAGTAATGCGATCACGTAGAGGAAAAATCTGGAGCTGGGCAGTTTCTTAATCGCAGTCGCAATTGGATGACTGCGTTCGCGTAGCTTGGTGTTGGATACAGTACGCATTCGCATAGGAGAGGACGTGTTCGCATAGAGCTGAGGAGGGAAGCTGGGAGCTGAAAAATTCTTCAACGCGTTCACGTAAGACGGGACGTGTTCGCGAAGGTTGGGCGCCTGTGTACTTCGCGTTCGCATGGGTAATTTAGCGATCGCATAGCGTATTATTGGAGGTAGTGGAGTTTGTTCTTCGCGATTGCGAAGGATGTCCTCCGATCGCAAAGGGTACTTCTGTTCAGTGTTTATAAGTACTCTATTTTGGGGGGTTTCGGCCATTTTATCATATTTGGAGCTATGTAGCTCCGATTAAGACGATCTTTGAAGCGATTTTTACCATATGGATTGGGGTAAGTATACTCAACTCAGTTTTGATTATATTTCATGAATCTATCCTCATTTTTTGCATTTGATTGATGATTTCAAAAGAGAAATTGGGGGGGGGGGGTTGTCAAAATTTCATTAAGTGAATTTTCGAGTTTTGAGCATCGATTCAGAGTCGGATTTGAGTGAAAATAGTATGGTTGGACTCGTAATTGAATGGGTTTTTGGATTTTGTGAGTTTCGTCGGATTCCGAGGTTTGGGCCCGGGTTTGGCTCTTTGGGTTGACTTTGGGCTTTTGATTAAAGATTCAACCTTTACTGATTGGGTTCATTTCCTTTGGCATTATTTGATGTTCTTGAGTTGCTTTTGTGTAGTTTCGAGCCTTTTGGAGGTCGGTACGCGCGGGATGGCATTTCTAGAGTATTGTTTGGCTTGCTCGGTGTTGGATTTGGCTTGTTCGAGGTAAGTAACACTTCTAAACTTGGTGCTGAGGGTATGAACCCCTGAATATACGTGTTATGTGTTTGGTGTTGTGGTGACACACATGCTAGGTGACGGGTGTGTGGGCTTGTACCGTGTGAATTATGACTCAATTTGATTTTGTGGTACTGTATAGTAACCTAATCTTGTTTCTATCCATGAAATTTCTATGTGATAGAGTAATTGAGCGGTGATCCATGTTAGAAACCATGTCTAGGCTATATGCTTATCTTGTTGGGACTCACTGAGGTCATTTCTGCTGTTGAGTTATTTGCTTAAATTACAATTACATACTCAGTCAAACTCATTCATTACATATCATATCTCAGTCTCTATTATCATTTGTCTCACATCTATTATCATAGTTTGAGCTGATTGGCATGAGATTTGTGAGCTGGGAGACTGGAGAGATTGATGAATAAGTGAGGCCGAAGGCCTGATTGTGAGTGATATTAATGGGATCGAGTTGCACGCTGCAGCAAGCTATATTGATTCATGATGGGATCAAATTGCACGCCGCAGCATGCCATGATTGGCTTATATTAACGCTTGGGCAGGATCTGCCCCTCCGAAGTCTGACTTACCAGTAGTGCGAATGCCGAGTGCGATTTCCGAGCGCGAGTGCCGAGCGATTAGGAGGACTGAGTGACTGATGATAGGCTATAATTACGTATTTTAGTCGATTATTACACTCTAATTTACTGCACTTTAGTTGAGTTTGAGCTTTAATCGCTAGTATTTTGCACTAACAGTGTGTTTTATGCCTTGTAGGAGTGATTCCGAGCTGTGTAGATATTATGGAATGAATTCAAGTGATTTGGAGCTTTAAAGTTTGAGTAAAAGTTCAAGGAATTAAGCCGGGATCGTGTTCGGGGGTCAACGGATGATAGTTAGAGTGAACAAAGACTCCAGTAGGCATATCGCGCACTGTCTAGTAAAATAGATATAACTTTTTTCTCAGAACTCCATTTTGGCTCCACAATATATGGTTGGAAAGGTAACTCAAAGGGATACAACTTTCATGTTTTACGTTTTTCCAAATTCCAAACGGAACAAGGTGAAAAGTGCGCATCAAGATGCGCGATCGCCTAGTTTTAGCTCGCCCAGGACAGAAAGTTGTCCAACTAGCGCGCCCAGATGCGGGCCCATATGCGCGACCGCGCTAGTCAAACCCGGGAAAAATGTCCTTTTTCACATTGGAGAAGGTATAATTGTTTGGGCCCAACCCTACTAGGTATATATACATGGAAAAACGGTATTTTGCAGGGGAGGACGCCACTTTAGAGAGATCTAACATACTTTGACAGAGAATTCACGTGGAGGAACACACACCACGCTTGGAGGAGGCTTCTAACTAGTTTTTCTTCTCTTCTCTTTCTTTAATTTTATAGTTTATTAGTTCTAGAGTTTTGGGTGCTACATGAACGTTGTAGTTTGAAGCTTGAATTGTTCTTATTATTTTATCATATTGGTTTATATATTCAGTCTTGCGCTTAATTATTTGAATTCTTGATCACCAATTGAATACTATCTATGAATCTAGGATTGAACTCGGGAGAGGGAATTCTAGATTGCATATAAGATTGAGTAGAGCAAGATCTTAACTCTTAGGGGGAGCGGATTTGCGGTTAGGATAGGAATATACCTAATCGCCTTGCTTGGTTATTATACGGGAATTATAAATGCGTTCTTGTTAATCCTAATTTCATAGGAATATAGGCGTTAGGTTAGCTTGAATAGGCGAGTTGTACTTCGGGAGAAGGCTACGAGGAATATTAACCTCGTCAATCAATAAACCAGATAAATTAATTTGACGATTTAAGTGGAAAACTCAACGGGATTGTTAGCCAACCCATAGCTCTAGAATATTCACTCACATTGAATCCGTCTCTATAATTCACCAACTTGTTTTCTTTAATCTCTTAGTTTACTACTCTAGATTATCTTTAGTTAAATATTCATACTTTAGGAATCGCTTGAATAGATTAATTGTTTGGTTTAATTTAGTTGATAGTTAATCACAAGTCCCTGTAGGTACGATATCTGGACTAATAATCCTATATTACTTTTCGACCACGTATACTTGCGTGTGCGTTAGGGAGCAACAGTGACTGTGAGGACTGAGTAGCTGTGAGGACTGAGTGACTGTGAGGGCTGAGTGATTGGGAGGACTGAGTGAATTGATGCTCCGAGAGTATGCATATGATTTTATCATAGCGTTGCATTACAGTTGGCATGCACAACTGACATGTAAGCATAAAGATGTACTCTCCTCATGCCATCTGATAAAGAATAGTCCTATCTGTTGTTGAAAGTTTTTGAGAAAAATCACAATTTTCTAATATACTTACATTTTGGTGATTTCAGTAAAAGATTTGGGTTCTTACTATTATGCCTGGAAAACATGGCTATTTTTCCATAACTGTGAATGAGCTGAGCATCCTATCTTTGAGTTATTACTTGTACTGCTTTATTTATATTGTTACGATTTGTTCTTGGCTGTTGGTGTTGGACTATGACCGTTGTCCAAGCTCGTCACTACTTTCAACCTAAGGATAGGATTGTTACTTATTGAGTACATGGGGTCAGTTGTACTCATACTACACTTCTGCACCTTGCGTGCAGATTTTAGATGTTGATATTTCTGTGTATGGCGGGAGATGGCATTGAAGATGTACCTGTGTTCCGGTCGTAGCTGCCTTTTATTCTTGGTAGCTTTAGAATTATTAATCTGTTCATGTATATTTCAAGCAGATGATGTATTTATTTCGTACCAGCTTTGTACACTCTAAATCTTAGAAGCTCATGATTTGTAATACCAGTCCTTGGGAAGTGTATAAAAGTTCAATTATTTTATCATTTATTTTCTCTGTAAATCTCATTTGAATTAGATTGTTGTTAATTGGCTTACCTAGCGGGTTGGGTTATGTGCTATCACGACCAACTATCACGACTAGTTGGATATTGGGTCGTGATAGCCTATCTCTTGTTGTAATGTGCTATATAAATGCATCACTAAGATTATTTCCAATAGGTTGAAGGATACCATCACTTATCTAGTAGCTGAGAATCAAGCTGCGTTTGTTCAAGGGAGATCTATGGTGCAAAATGTATTAATTTGTCATGACCTTCTGAGACATTATAATAGGAAAACCTCGCCAAGGTGTATGATGAAGATTGACCTCAAGAAGGCTTATGATATGGTTAGGTGGGAATTTGTGGAAGAGGCTTTATTAGGATATGGATATCCTCCTAAATTTGTGCAGCTGATAATGGAGTGTATTTCATCTCCTAAGTTTTCAGTCAAAGTGAATGGGGTGGGTCATGGATATTTTGAGGGAAAGAGAGGTTTATGGTAGGGAGATCTTATATCTCCCTTGCTATTTGAGTTGGTTATGGAGTACTTATTCAAACTCTTGTGCAAGATTACCAGATTTGAGATTCCATCATATGTGTAAGAAACTGAAGTTAACTCATTTGATCTTCACTGATGACTTGATGATCTTTTGCAAGGACCAGTTATCTTCATTCAAGAAAGTGATGGAAGCACACTCAGCTACTACAAGATTGATAGCTAACTTGGAGAAGTCTAGTTTATTCATGGCGGGAGTGGATGCTGCTACTAGTACATCTCTGTTGGAATATACTGGGTTCTCACTCGCAGAATATCCAATCAAGTATCTTGGACTACCGTTTTCTTATAAGAAGTGTAATAAAATAGAATGCCACCAACTAATTGAGAAGATCACTGCCAGGATAAAAGCTATTTTAACAGACATTTATCATATGCCAGGAGACTTCAAATTATCAATGTTGTGCTTTTTTCCTTACATAACTTCTGGGGTTTTGTCTTTATTCTGCCTCAGAGTGTCTTGTCAAAGGTAAATAGAAAGCGTAGAAACTTTTTATAGGGAAGCACTGATGATCATAGGAAGATGGCCCTAGTATTATGGAACAATATTTGTGTGCCAAAAAAGTTTCGAGGTTTGAACATCAAATGTTGCAAAAAGTAGAATATTGCTCTAGTGGGAAAATTAATGTGATTGCTTATTGTGACGAAGGAAGGGTTATGGGTTGAATGGGTCCATGGTCTTTACATGAAACCTGGTACAAATTTTTGAATGCATACTTTTCCAGCTGATTGTAGCTGGTATTGGAAAGGGTTACACAAGCTGAAGCTAGACATGCAAAATTGGTAATGTAACAGTTGGTATCACTTGACTTCAAATGGTGTTTATTCTGCCTCTGCTAGCTATATTGCCATGTTGAGAGTGTTAACTAAACTTAGCATTTCGAAGTTGATTTGGGGAGTTGTATCTATACCTAGACATAAATATATTATTTGGTTGGCTGTGCAGGGTAAGCTCTTGACCAAAGATAGATTAATGAAGATGAATATTTCCTGTACTAAATACAATGTTACCTATGTGAAGAGGTGGGTTTGGAGACTCACCAACACCTCTTTGTGGAATGCAGCTGGTTTTCTACACTCAGAAATGAAATACAAATATGGATAGGGTATAGTATTCCCCCCGATGACGGTAACAGAGTACTTTGAATAGCATTCAGAGAAAGCATTGGAAAAAGTTCACTAAAGAAATCATGGATGTTGTTTATGGTATGATAGTATATCATACATGGAGGGCTAGGAATTGAAAGGTGTTTGGAGGAATTACTGTACTGACTAATTATGTTTATACACAGACACAACAGGAAACTAAAGTGAGGGTAGATATGTTGAGATCTTCATAGAGGGCGTATAGATGTTCTTTGTTGATTAACAGACTGTGTGTAATGACCCGGTCAGTCTTTTTGAGAGTTAGAGCCCCGATCCCCTATTAACTGCTTTTCCCATATCTTTTTCTATTGTTGTGACTTGACGGGAGGTTTCATTTTGGTTTTTGAAGTGTTTAGGACTGTTAGTCCCTAAATGGAGGTTTAAGCCTTAGGATTTGGACCATGGTCGGAACTGTGTGAGGACGACTCCAGAATGGAGTTCTATCGATTCTTTTAGCTCCATTGGGTGATTTTGGGCTTAGGGACGTGTCTAGATTTTTTTTTGGAGGCCCGTAGGTCATTTAGGCTTGAAATCGCGAAAGCTGAATTTTTGGAGAATAGGACCTGTAGTGGAATTTTTGATATCGGGGTCGGATTCTGATTCTAAAAGTTGGAGTAGGTCCGCGGTGTTGATTATGACTTGTGTGCAAAATTTGGGGTCAATTGGACGTGGTTTGATAGGTTTCGGTATCGGTTGTAGAATTTTAAAGTTTCACGTTCTTTAAGTTTGAATTGGAGGGTGATTCGTGATTCTAGCGTTGTTTGATGTGATTTGAGAGCTCGACTAAGTTAGTACGGTATTTTAGGATTGGTTGATATGTTTGGTTGAGGTCCCGGGGGCCTCGGGTGAGTTTCGGATGCTTAACGGATCATTTTTGGACTTTGGGAGTTAGCAGATTTTCTGGTATTTTGTTGCAGACAATTCCTCGCGTTCGCAAGGGGAGGAACGCGTTCGCAAAGAGGAATTTGTGGCAGGTGAAATTTTTGTGCTTCGTGTTCGCGAAGGAGGTCCCGCATACGCGAAGCACTGGGGAAGTTGGCCTACGCGTTCGCGGTGTAGGTCCCGTGTTCGCGCAGAACGAATGGTCGACTGGGTCCCAGACCCTTATGCCTACGCATTCACGTAGGGTTGAGTTTCTAGGCCTTCACGTTTATGACGAGGGCATCGAGTTTATGAAGAATTTCTGGGCCAAGGCGAGTTGTGCTTCGCGAACGCGATGTGCTTTCCGCGTTTGCGAAGAAGGATTCACTGGGCAGATATAAACTTTTCAAAAACGAGGGTTAGCCATTTTTATCAAAACTTGAGTTTGGGAGCTCGGATTTGGACCAGATTTTCAGAGATATCAATTGGGTAATGATTCTTAACTCGATTTTGGTTATATCTCACTAATCTATCATTAATTTTATCATTTAGTTTCGGATTTGGGGTGAAAATTGGGAAAAATGGAAAGAAGTTCTTCAACTAAGATTTCGAGTTTTGATTGGGATTTTGACATCGGATTTGGATAATTTTGGTACGAGTGAACTCATGAGTAAATAGGTGTTCATAATTATTGACTTTTGCCCGATTTCGAGACATAGGCCCGGGGAGGCTTTTAGGGTGATTATCTAATTTCTTGCTTTATCCTTGATTTCATTAGCTAGGCTAGATTTGGGCCACTCGGAGCCAGATGTTTGTGGGAAAGGCATTGTGAGGGATTGATTTGAGCTTGATTCGAGGTAAATGGATTGCCTAACCATGTGTGGGGGAATTCTCCTTAGGATTTGGTATTGTTTTGATATGTGAGCGTCGTGTACGTGAGGTGACGAGTACATACATGGGCTATTTGTTGTAAAACTACGTTTTTCACTAAGTCATAACCTATTTCTCCTTATTTTAACTACACTAGCATATGTAACTATCCTGTTTAGTTTAGAATAGCATGCCTACGTGTTTTAACTGCCTTCTGGAATCTGTGTAGCATGATTAGTGAAAATTCCTGCTTTCCTTGACCTAAACTTAGTCTAAACTGTAGGTTTTTCTTGTTGTAACTGCTATTTTCTGTTGGTTGAGCTGCATATTTACTTTGGGACTACGGAACGGTATTCCGGAAGATCCCTCTGTACTGCATATTTACTTTGGGACTACGAAACGGTATTCTGGGAGATCCCCATGTACTGCATATTTACTTTTAGACTACGGAACTGTATTCCGGGAGATCCCCCTATTCTGCATATTTACTTTGGGACTACGGAACAGTATTCCGGGAGATCCCCCTGCACATTTACGTTTGGGACTATGAGACGGTATCTCGAGAGATCCCCTGTTGTTATCTTTGTGTTCTGAGCTGTTGTCTTTCTATGATTCCATTCCTGTTAGATTTTCATATTTATTTTTACTGCGGTATTTCATTCTATCTTATGCCATTATGTTTATACCTCTAGGGCCCTGAACTGATCTCGTCACTAGACCGAGGTTAGGCTTGGCACTTACTAGGTACCATTGTGGTGTACTCATGCCCTTCCATGCACATGTTTTTCGTGCGCAGATCCAGGTACCGCTTCTCAGCCGCATTATCAGTGAGGCGAGGCAGTTGTAGAGACTTCAAGGTATATCTGCCGCGTCCGCAGACCTCGGAGTCCCTATCTACTCTTCCCCATTTCAAACACTTCTTGTATTTCTTTTTGCTAGACTCTGGAGTATAGAAGCACTATTTTTTTCTGTAGCTTATGACTTATGATATTTCGGGTTTTGGGAGTGTTTATGTACACTTTTAGAGTGGCTATTGTATATACCGGGCGGCATCTTAGTTTCTCATTTAAATTTACCTGTTAGTTGTTAGCTTTCATGATTTCGTTTTATTTTCCACAAATATTAGGCTTACCTACTACTACTACTCCAGCTCTTCAGGAGACCCTTGCACTGTTCCTGAGCACGTTTGGTACTCTAGCTCAGGCAGGGTTGATTCCCCTTGCTCCAGCCACATCTCAGGCCGGGAGAGGTGCGTAGACTCCCGCCGCCCGCACCCCAGAGCAGCGGGTTATGGTTCATCATATTCCAGAGGTTATACCGGTGCCATCCGTAGCCCCAGTTAAGCCCGAGGGTCGGGCAGCTGTTTCCAAGGAGGAGCAGCGTAGGATCGAGAGGTATAAGAAGTATGACCCTCCTACATTCAATGGTCTAGCGTCAGAGGATGCTCAGGGATTTCTGGAGGGGTGCCACCGAATCCTCCGTACTATGAGCATAGCAGAGTCGAGTGGGGTTTCTTTCACTTCCTTTCAGCTTCGAGGAGCAACCTATCAGTGTTGGCATACTTATGAGTTGGAGAGTCCGGCTGAGGCAGCTTCCCTTACATGGACTCAGTTCTCGGACATGTTCTTGAGAGAGTATGTCCCTCAGAGCCTCAAGGACGCATGGCGCTTGGAGTTTGAGCAGTTGCGCCGGGGTACTATGACTATTTCAGAGTTGCAGTCCATTTCAGTGACTTGGCTAGACATGCACCGGCCTTGGTTTCTACAGTTTGAAAGAGGGTCCATCGGTTTATTGAGGGACTTATTCCCCAGCATCAAGACTAGCATGGCCCGGGAGTTAGAGGTGGATATCTCGTATCAGCAAGTGGTGAGTATTGCTAGGAGAGTGGAGGGCATGCTTGCTTGGGATAGGGAGGAGAGAGAGGCCAAGAGGTCTCGAGAGTCTGGCCATTATTCTGGAGCCCGTGCCTCAGATGCAGTTCTTCATGGTAGGGGCTATGTGAGTCTCCCCATGAATTCCTATGTGTCCTCTTATTTTACCCCGCATTTGGGCGTATCTCGAGATTTTTTGAGTTCCCTTGTTTATGTGTCTACTCCTGTGGTAGATTCTCTTGTTGTGAACTGCATGTATCGGTCGTGTTTGATTACTCTTAGTGGTTTTGAGACTAGAGCCGATTTATTATTACTCAGCATGATAGGTTTTAATGTTATCTTGGGCATGGACTGGTTGTCTTCCCATTATGCTATTTTTGATTGTCACGCCAAGACTGTGACGCTGGCTATGCCAGGTGTATTGCGATTGGAGTGGAGGGGTACCTTAGATTACACTTCCAGTAGAGTTATTTCATTTCTTAAAGCTCAACGAGTGGTTGAGAAGGGGTGTGACGCGTATCTAGCTTAAATGAGAGATGTTGCTATTGATACCCCTACAGTCGAGTCAGTCCCAGTAGTGAGGTATTTCCCTAATGTGTTTACAGCTGATCTTCCAGGCATGCCTCCCGACAGAGATATTGATTTTGGCATTAATTTGTTGTCTGGCACTCAGCCCATCTCCATTTCTCCTTATCGAATGGCCCTCCTGAGTTGATGGAGTTGAAGGAATAGTTACAGGATTTTCTTGATAAGGGCTTCATTCAGCCCAGTGTGTCACCTTGGGGTGCTCCTATCTTGTTTGTGAAAAAAAGGATGGTTCTATGGGTATGTGCATTTATTATCGCCATTCGAACAAAGTCACAGTGAAGAACAGGCATCCTTTGCCTCGTATTGATGACCTATTTGATCAGTTATAGAGTGACAGGGTGTTTTCCAAGATTGACTTGTGTTCAGGTTACCGTCAGTTGAAGATTCGGGAGCCAGATATCCTGAAGATTGCTTTCAGTACTAGGTATGATCATTACGAGTTCCTTGTCATGTCATTTGGGCTGACCAACACCCCAGCAGCATTTATGCATTTGATACACAATGTATTTCAGCCTTATCTTGACTCGTTCGTCATTGTCTTTATTGACGACATTCTGGTGTACTCCCAGAGTCGAGAGGATCATGAGCAACACCTGAGGACAATACTTCAGAACTTGAGAGAGAACAAATTATATGCAAAGTTCTCAAAATGTGAGTTCTGGTTGGATTCCGTGGCATTTATGCATCACGTGGTGTCGAGTGAAGGGATCAAGGTGGACCCGAAGAAAGTGGAAGCGGTGCAGAGTTGGCCAAGATCATCCTCAGCTATAGAGATCCGGAGTTTTCTTGGCTTGGGGGGTATTACCGTTGATTCGTTGAAGGATTTTCATCTACTGCAGCACCTATGACCAGGCTGACCCAGAAGGGTGCTCCGTTCAGGTGTACGGAGGAGTGTGAGGAGAGCTTTGAAAAGCTCAAGATAGCTTTGACTACAGCCCCAGTATTGGTATTGCCTTCGGGTTTGGGGTCTTATACTGTTTATTGTGATACATCGCAAGTTGGTCTCGACGCGGTGTTGATGTAGGACCGTAGGGTGATTGCCTACACATCCAGACAACTGAAGGTGCATGAAAAGAACTATCCTTTCCACGACCTTGAGTTAGTTGCTATTGTTCATGCCTGGAGGCACTATTTGTACGTCGTCCCTTGTGAGATCTACACTGATCACGGGAGTTTGCAACATCTGTTCAAGCAGAAGGATCTTAATTTGCATCAGAGGAGATGGTTAGAGCTGCTTAAGGATTATGATATCACCATTTTGTACCATCCTGGGAAGGCCGATGTGGTGGCCGATGCTTTGAGTCGCCAGGCAGAGAGTTTGGGGAGTTTGGCATATCTACCAGTAGCAGAGAGGCCCATGGCGTTGGATGTTCAGGACTTAGCCAGCTAGTTTGTGAGATTGGATATTTCTGAGCTGAGTCGAGTATTGGCTTGTGTAGTCTCTCGGTCTTCTCTTTATGACCGTATCAGGGAGCGTCAGTATGATGACCCCCATCTGCTTGTGCTTAAGGACACGGTCCAGCATGGTGATGCTAAGGAGGTCATTGTTGGGGATGATGTTGCATTGAGGATGCATGGCGGGCTATGTGTGCCTAATGTGGATGGTTTGCGTGAGTTGATTCTTCAGGAGGACCATAGCTCGCGGTACTCTATTCATCCGGGTGCCGCGAAGATGTATCAGGACTTGAGGCAGCATTACTGGTGGAGGAGGATGAAGAAGGACATAGTGGAGTATCTTACTCGGTGTCTAAATTTCCAGCAGGTGTGAGCATCAACGACCGGATGGATTGCTTCAGAAGTTAGAGATTCCGGAGTGGAAATGGGAGCGGATCACTATGGATTTTGTTGTTGGACTCGCACGGACTCAGCAGAAGTTTGATGCAGTTTGGGTGATTGTGGATAGGCTGACCAAGTCAGTTCACTTCCTTCCTGTGAT